GATTTGTTAGTGTTATGTTGGCGATCAACTAATTGTGGTGTTAAGCTGTTCTACTTTGTTTTAGAGTACTTCTAACTTATGAGACTTTATATTTTGAAATAGGCATTGACACAAGATCAGTTGTTTTGCGGTCTTAATGTCCGTGTTCTGAGTTCATGTTTGATCCTATTGATGATGATGTCCGAGAGTTTGGAGAGATGTAAGTTCATGTTTACTGTTCTATTGTTTAATTTGATGCATAAAAAGGTATGGTTATACTGATAAATTATTTTAATGTCTTGCAGCTGTAGAACTCCTCGCGCGTAGTAGTATTCATCTCGATCGTTGTATGGATTATTCTATGCTGAATTTGGATGGATGCTAGCCTCTTCCACATCGTCTCTGTATTAAATTATATCTTTTTGCGGCCTCTTAAGAATATGTTATGAATTTGTGTAATGTGTTATTTTGTACTTTAAGATGGTTATTATTTTCAGTCGACTTACACGGTTGTAGAATTTTAAACTCTAAAATTAAGTACTGAAAAATCATAGCTATTTGAAGTTTTAGTTTATTTAATTTTGCATACTAAATCAGGGTAAATAATCATTCTGATAAGGTAATGAATGGATATGTGTAACTCTTTAACATAAACTAAATATTTTATCTAGATGTTATATGGTCTGTGTTTAGAATCTAATCTAATAGAAAGTGTGTGTTTATTTAGAGAATTAGTTGTGCTTAAAATATATAACTTGAAATTTTCATGTTTGTTTATAAATAAGACCTTGGATTGCAGTTTATGAAAATGTTTTTGAGGTAGCTTAGGATAATAGTCTTGGAATTATGAAAAATTCAGTATTGGTATATGCAAATTTGCTATTTTTATGAATCAATATTGTAGAACATATATAGATGATGGGAAAATAGGGAATTCTATTTATCAAAATGTTTGTAAATCTAATATATATTTTGATACATATTGAAATCCTAATATTGGTGACTTTTAAAATAATAGAGATATATAGGCCATTTCTTATCTATTTGGAGGACTAAAAAATCCTCGCCTGTATTAATTATACAGTCCTTCTAGATCGCATGTGTTTTGTATTCACTCTGAATATTTTGTTTTCAGTTCTATTATAAAGAGATGTAATGAATATCCTAAATGTTATTATTATATCTTGTGGTCCATTTTGATATTGTGCTTCTTTATTTGATGTGGATTTATCACTGTTTCATTCGAATGGGTTTAAATTAATTAACTATTCACTACTTTCGGCCCAGTTCGTCTCGACATGATCTTAATAAAGACAAAGAATGTACAGCTGAAAGGAACCGTTTTTTTTTTCAAAAAATAAACTGACTAGGAAATTGTTGGTGTCTATTCATATTTTATATATACATTATTATCTAGGGTTCTTTTTATCCACCGGTCTTCCTTTCTTGTCTTTCCTTTTTATAAAAGTATCTTTTCCTATAATTCACCATGAGTTCTCTTTCTGGTTTACAAATTGGATACATTGAACGGTCAGTTTGTGTTAAGGTTCTCCGTTTTTGGAAGCATATAAATTTCTTTGGGCATACCTTGGAGCTGATACTTTGTGATAATCGGATAATAATTTACGTAATTTAACTGAAAATTTAATTCGCTTTGCATGTAGATCTACTTGCTCTAATTTTTGATTTTATGAATATTTTATTTTTGACTAAGGAACCCAGATCTCGGCGACTATAATGCCCGATAGACTACTGGTTTTTGAAAACTACTTTAGGCAAGGTTTTGGTATGAAGTTTGTAAATTTGAAGTGAAGCGTGAGTGTAGATCGAGTTTTGTCCTTCGCCTAGAGTTAGGAAATTTGAAGACGGCTCTCCTGGACTGTTTTTACACTGTCGGCGAATTATTGATATTTGCACTAGGGAGTTTGAGACTGGATCTTTAGTCGGTATGCTTTTTTCTGTTTGCTATAATTTTTTAAAATATATTTTATACAATACTATGTTGATTGCATGTGTGTTAAATTAAAATATTTCAGATGTTATGGAGACCGTTGTAAGGATTGGAACACTTCATGATATTAACAACGATGCCTACGTAGGAGGACTTGTGCTTTATTCGTTTCGAACTCTGTGATGCGAGGTAAGTTTATTTATAAGTTGCTCTTCATTGATAATTAGGATAGTGTACGTTCGTTGTACTCTTCATTGCTAGGGAACTTTTGGTAGGGATTTTGTTCGTGCATATGAACAAAGTCTTTGTGAATCAATAGTTTGTGTTTTAAGATTCTGGAGGGTATTCAATGGTATAGGTGAGAATTTTATTGGTTGTTTGTTAGATAAGTATAATTGTTGTGTAACATTTTATAAAAGTATTTCATCTTGCATAATGTTGATTTGGTGTAGGTGATGACGATAAGGATGTTGTTTTGCGTTCTCATTACCCATATTCCGAGTTTATGTTCAATCCTCTCGACGATGATGTTCGTGAGTTTCAGGAGATGTGCATGTTTCTATCTTATTATATAGTTTCTATTTAAGGCTTTGCATGTTCTGTTTTTGATTTGCCAATGTATTGAGTTTAATATGCTGCAGTCGTGGTGCTCTTGGTGGTCGGACTATTTGTTGTGAACTCTGTGATGCGAGGTAAGTTTCTTTATAAGTTGCTCTTCATTGATAATTAGGATATTGTACGTTCGTTGTGCTCCTCATTGCGGGGGGAACTTTTGCTAGGGATTTTGTTCGTGCATACGAACAAATTCTGTATGAGTCAATAGTTTGTGTTTTTAGATTCTGGAGGGTATCCAATGGTATAGGTGAGAATTTTAATGCTTGTTTGTTAGATAAATATAATTATTGTGTAACATTTTATAAAAGTATTTTATCTTGCATAAGATTTGGTTAGGTGCTGGTGATAAGGATGTTGTTTTGCATTCTCATTACCCGTATTCCGAGTTTATGTTCAATCCTCTCGACGATGATGTTCGTGAGTTTCAGGAGATGTGTGTGTTTCTATCTTATTATATAGTTTCTATTTAAGGCTTTGCATGATCTGTTTTTGATTTGCTAATGTATTGAGTTTAATATGCCGCAGTCGTGGTGCTCTTGATGGTCGGACTATTGGAGGATAAGCCGACAAGCATAGGCAGTCTCTATTATATAGGTGGCCTCTACTTGAAATTATAAAATAATTAGTTTTAAAATTAATTTATGTTTTTATTATTTTATTTTCGTACAAACGTAACGTAATAACAGTAATGTGATATTAAGTGGGTATTTGTAATATAAGATTTTGTATTTCAGGTTTATTATTATCTTTCATCTATAACAAGTAAGATTGAAATGTATAGTATTATCTTTGCTCTGTTGTAATTCACTAGGTGCTGGTTTGGATGATGTAAGAGAATAGTATATATCACACATAATAATGATTATTAACAACTGACAGTTTGATAAATAGGAACGCCTTAAGTATCAGATCGGATTAATAAACAAATAATACAATATTAAACAAATAGTGGCCGGCTGTTTTATAAGGTTCCTTTGAATTAACATTTTTTCACGATCATCGAGTTACACATGTTTCAGATAAGCATTGTTGGATAATGTTTGAGTATTTAACATTGGATATTATCTTTTCATAGGACTTTAAGGTTTTTGATACTTTTAATAAATTGTGCACTGATATTTGTATATCAATTATTTATATGTTTATATTATATATTCCGTTTCTATTATAATTTTGTGTTGTTTGTTACATATCAATATGTTTTTATTTTAAAAAAATTGTATTTGCATTATCTGTATTTATAATAGTATATAGTTAATGATACTTAAAAAAATAATATCAATATTTGAATTGTTGGTATCTTATATATTGATAATCAAAACTGTTAAGAGAAATATGCAAGAAAAATTCAATAAGTATAATCAATTCATTTTACATGTATATCCAATATATTTAGGGGGAATTGCTGAATATGACTTAAAACTTGAGTTGAAATGCAAAACTAGACCTTCTATTGCATGTTTGACAAAAAATAACTCATAGAGGTAGTGAAATTACAACATTAACCCTTCTGACCAAACAAAAAAATATCAGCCGCAATTACTGTTTTATCCCAGAGAAGTCTACTCTCTAATAATTTATTTACAATTAAATTTAAAAATTATGAAAAATAATTTGATAAAAAATTAGATACATAGCATAAATATATTCTTTTTACACCTATTAATAATAAAATTTGACACAAAATAATCAATTTAAATCATCATATAGGTTAGAAATGAATACTAAGTGACTTCTCGGGTTCTCGAGTAGACTTCTCGGGGGTAGACTTCTTGGAGAAGTCTACTCTCTAATAATTTCTTTAACATTAATTAAAAAAAATTTGAAAAATAATTTGGTAAAAAAATTATCAACATAACAAACACATATACTTTATACACCTATTAAAAATAAATTTTCATATAAAATAATCACTTGAAATCATCGTAGATAAATTATGTTAGAAATCAATACTAAATAGACTTCTAGAAAGTAGACTTCTCCAAAATAGACTTTCTAATAATTTCTCTACAATTAATTAAAATAATCGTGAAAAATAATTTGGTAAAAAATTATATACACAACTAAAACATAAATATTTTGCATCTATAGAAAATAAAATTTCATGAAAATGAATTAATTTATAAGTTTTATGAGTATACAATTCAAAAGTGTTAGCTTCTATTCTGGTCGAGATCTTCGATTCTAGCCACCATGAAAGAGACACAACCGCAAAAAACGACCAACTCGCCGGAATATGTAATTTTATATTAATAGTCAAATTATAGAGTTTTTGGAAAGAAAATAGAAATAATATGGAAGTATCTATTATATAAAGAGTGGGTTGTGTCTCACTAGAGTATTGACACATCAGCACTCATTTCCCTGACACGTCAGCCCATAAAAAAGGAAAAAGAAAAAATTCAGTCAAACAAAAAAGAATTATACTGAAGCGTCTCTTCTCCCGATTCAATTACTTTTATATTTCCGATGAAAAATTTGTTTCTTTAAAATCCAAAAAACTTGTACTCGATGTATTCCAAAATCGAGAGAGACGAAGGAGGAGACGACGAACAGAGAGGAATCGATCAGAGAACAAGTTTGACAGCAACGCCGCTTTCGCCGGCGGCGGTTTCATGGCTTCACAGACAACTAAGCAAGCGCCTGATTTCGCATCGTCCTTCAAGGTTTGGCCTCTCTAATCTTCTTCGCCATTGAGGAATTTGATAAATTCTTTCCGCGTTTTTATGCTATTGAAAATTTATATATCGCGATTCAGATTCTACCGAAGTTTTCTCGTACTTTCGCACTCTTTACTTGTATTATGCATCCGATTCTCTCGAATTCAAGTCGTTTCTAGGGAAAATTAGCAGAAAAGTTATGATAGTTCCATTTGATTTTTCTAGGAAATTTCACATGGCTGAAAAGTATCAAAGAACAAATTGAGAGATCTGGAAATGTAGATGTATTTATGAGTTTTGCATCTATCACAAATCTATGAATATCAATAATATAATTATCTGTTTGTGGAGTCGTGAATCTGGATACAGAGACTGTATATTGAGCAGCATTTAAAATTTTGTGAGTTTTCACCACTGTTTTGCAGAACCGCGATGTACGTACCTTGCTTCCCCTGACACTGAAGCAGTTGAATAGTGTATCAACCAATGGTGAATCAAACTTCTCCATAGACGGCGTTGACATTAACACTGTAAGCTCTTTTTTCTTCACCAGTTACTATTGTTTGCTGATATATTTTGCCCTCTTACATTTTTTGAAGTCTATTGAGTCAAGTTTAGTCAAGTATGTTTCTGTTGTACATCTATAGATTCTTTACTTTGGTATTATATCTGATCTCGACCTTGCTGTCAAGTAGTATTCCAGCTATAGAATTCAAGTCTAATGAGTTGAGCATTTGAATTTTGTGTTGCCTGTGTTTAGGTTGCAATTGTTGGACGAGTTGCTAGAATGGAGAACAGAATCACTCAGGTTCACTTTGTTGTAGATGATGGTACAGACTGCATTGAATATAACTGCTGGTAAGTTCTTCATTTTTTCTTCAGATTCTAATAGAAGTACAATATGAAAATGCTGTCATAAAAGCTCAACTTTATCTTGCTAATTCATTGTGAACAATAGTCTGCAGGTGTCATGAATGTCAAGAAACTGAAGTGGGAGCAGTCAGGTATGTTTCAGAAGAACATTTGTAGATTCGTTGATTTAGTATAGTTTCCCGTTTTCATAGTCTACATCTGCTACAGGCTGGGAATGTATGTTCGCCTACATGGACACCTAAAAAGTTTCCAGGGGAAGCGATCTGTGAATGTTTTCTCAGTCAGGTACCTTTGTTTCCTTGACGTACTATATTGATCTGACTATGATGTATTCGTCAGCGAACCAATTCCAATCGGATTTCTATACATTTGAATTTTCTAGCTGATCTATGATATTCCTCCGTGGCTTAACATGTTATATCTTCCATTATTCTTCTCCGAGTGAATGAACTTGCTGCATCTGAAAGATATATACTCAAGTCTAATATTGTGATTCCAGGCCTGTCATTGACTTCAACGAGTTTGTTCACCACTTTACCGAGTGTATCTATGTCCACATGTACAACACCAAGTCATGGGTATAAGCCTATTCTTCACCGCTATTTTTATGCTTTGTTCCACGGCTTAAAGCTTCTTTATGTTATATACTAACCTCAATCTACTTCAGGTGGCTCTGTTACTCAGGCTACTGCTACTGCTAGGCCCCAAATGCTGTATTCAACTATGCCAACCCCTCTGCAAATCCATACCAAACTGGTCCATCTAATCAGGTAAAAGACATATCCAATCTAGGTTTCAAAACTTTACATGCTCTTTTGTGGTCCTCTTAAGTTATTAAACAATTCTTTTTCAGTTCCCAAACCAATTCAATGATCCAATGTACGGGGTAAAGCAGGAGGTCATGAATTACTTGAATCAACCTATGCACCTGTAAGTTTATCCAAAATCCCTCAAAAGATCCCTATTTATATCATTCATACAGCTTTCAATACTCATTATTGAACTTTATAGTTAAGAAAATAATTAAATCAACCACTAAAGCCTCGTAGAGCTAACCTTGAGTAAGTTGTAGCTAAAAGCCCCGCATTCAGGTACCACAAGTATAAGCCATGTCGCAGTTTAAAATAAGTTATTGCAGAAGATTAATGTTCTTGTCTTATTGTTTGATTGGACTCTCTCTCTCTCTCACTCACTCTCTCACTCACTCTCTCTCTCTCTCTCTCTCTCTCTCTCTCTCTCTCTCTCTCTCTCTCTCTCTCTCACTCACTCGCTCGCTCGCTCTCTTGCTCTCTTGCTCTCTTGCTCTCTCGCTCTCTCTCTCTCTCACTCACTCGCTCTCGCTCTCTCTCTCTCTCTCTCTCTCTCTCTCTCTCTCTCTCTCTCTCTCTCTCTCTCTCTCTCTCTCTCTCTCTCTCTCGCTCTCGCTCTCGCTCTCGCTCTCTCTCGCTCTCGCTCTCTCTCGCTCTCTCTCTCTCTCTCTCTCTCTCTCTCTCTCTCTCTCTCTCTCTCTCTCTCGCTCTCGCTCTCTCTCTCTCTCAATCTCTCTCTCTCTCTCTCATCTAAAAGCACAAGTTTGATATTTGGTTTATATATGCTGGATCTACGTCAGTTCATCTGAAACTGGAGTTCATCTCTATCTCTGTTTCCCTCTACAAAAACGTTACAATATTAAAACGAAAACTATATTGACTATAATTGTTTGGTCTCTGTACATATCTATGGCAGGGATGTGTTAGAACAGCTCGCAAACGGTGCCTGTGTACTCGACTACGGACGAAACTTGCTTCAAATCAACCGCAAACGCATGATCAAAATTGATTTATCTCTCACATTTCAATCTTCCTCTAAAGTTATAAAGCATTTTTGTATAGGCCCTAAGGTACGACATTAGCATTAAGAGTTTTCATCTACCTAATAGCTTTTGGATTTCTTAAAAGCCAATCTAAAAGTTCAACCAAAATAATTCCCGTCATATGATAACTTCAGATCAAATTTGAATCGAGAAACTTTTTACCGCCATAGACATAATGTTGGACTGGGCCGTTGTTTTCAGGGGTGGTAACAGAGTCGGCCCAGATTTTAAGTCCCCAACATTGCCAATTTTTGTGATGGGCCGTTATTTTCAGTAATCATCATTAATCTAAGCACCAAAAAGCTTATACAGTTATTCTTCTTTGTACGAAAAAAAAGATAACAAATATCAGCATCGGGGTTAATAATACATTACGTTACAACCTGAACTAGGCTCGAGCTTTGCTAGACTTGTCCACTGGAGCTGTTCAAGGGAAATCTTATTTTTATATCTATATTTTAATAGTTGTGATGAAATATTATATGGAAAAACAAGACTCATAACAAACTCCAGTGATTTGCTAAATAGCTTTTGAATAGAATTTTACTTTTTTCTTCTAACCTTCATAATTTTTTTATTTTTTATTTTTATAAATTAGATCCAAAATAGACAACAAGATGATTTCACTTCTATTTGCAAAGAAGTTGTATCTTTTTGTTTCGTTTTTGTTAGGAAGTTTTATTTACTTGGCGTCAATCTATTCACGTTGTTTGCTATAAGAAAAAAAGATTTAAGATTAGTTAGTAAATCTTAAACCAATTATATTATAATATCTGTATTTTTCAATTAATCATGTATAGATTGAGAGATAAAATAAAGGCATGATTGCAATAAAATAGTATATTAATCATACGTAAATCAAAAATATATAATAATATGTAAATCCGCGTGTACACGCGGAGTATCACCTAGTTACTAATAAAAATTGATGCTAAATGCTTATAAGGGTGTACACATAGGATTTAAATATTCAATTCTATCAATACACATCATCAATATTATTAGTTAATTATATATTGTATATTAAAATTAATTAATTTGTTTTAATTGTTATAAGAAAATTTTTTAAATTTTAATTAATTTTGTTTTTGTTGTTATTAGGAAAGTTTCTAAATTTTAAGTTAGTTATTAATAAAAAGAAGTTTTGAAAATAGATCTTATTTTTCTATTAACAATAAAAAAGTAAATTAACATATAAATAGATTATGAAAGAAAAATCATATATATTGAACAAAATTATTAAAAACTGTATTTAAAACAATAATTAAATTATCTTAAAATTTTAATCACGACAAACAATTAAAATATGAACTGCAAAATTAAAATATATTAGTTGTGGTCCGTGTTGATGTCTTAGGCCAATGAGAACATCCACATAAGACATATATACTCAATCTGATTAGTCTATCAGCTTCTTTCATTAAACATAAAAAAATAAAAATTATTATTAATAATTTTAATAAATTAAACTTACAAAAATATAAAATTATCACAATAGAATGGAAAATTAATATAATTTTTTTAACTAAATAAAATAAATTTATGTCAAAAGTCTAAATCTATTGTGAAAATAAAATGGGAACTCATTGTCACAAAAACTAAACTAAAAAAACAAATATGTAAATCAATAAAAAAAAAAGTTAAATTAAATTTTTTTTTTGCATATATATTTTAAATGAGTAATTTATTTAGAAAAAAAATTAAGATTAAATTTTCATATAAACATATAAAATTTTTATTAAAAAATATCAGTACTACCAAAAAAAACATTCATCTTAAATTATCAAAAAAGAAAGTCATTTTAAACTTATAATTTTTGGGGAAATATTTAAAAAATTAACACAAAATTCCTAACAAACTAAAATGATACTTTATGCTAATTACTGAAGAAAGCAATATAAAAAATTTTTAACTAACAAAAACCAAAATATAAATTATTTTTTAAAACATGTCAATACAGTTAAAATGTAAGTCCACTTCGAGATAATTAAATTAACAAAAAAAAAGGATATTAACTTAATATCTATGTTATTTATATAACAAAATCAATATAAACAGAATAAGTAAGAGAATAAAAAAACTTAAATAATACTAAAAAACTTAACTAACAAAAATAATATAAATATTTAAGCATATAAAAATTCATATAAAAATATTTAACTAACAAAAAATTTATGTCTTCAAAATATCAATATTTTAAAAACAATGGTGTGTTAAAACAAAATAAAAATCAATATCAAGAGAGGTAATTATCAAAGGAAAAAATCGTATAAAGTAAAACTAGCTTGATATTTAGGCTAACTACCAAACAAATATTAACTAAAAAAAGCAAATGATGGTATAAGCTTTTGGAAGAAGTTTACTTAAAATTTAGAATAACCAGTTATAGCATGTCAAAATAGCATTTTAATTAATTTTAAAAGTAAATTTAACAAAAATGCATTTATGTAAAAGATATTAGATTAATATATATGCTACCTATTTGAAAAATCAATAACAAAAGAGAATAATTAAAAATATATATGTATTAAGAATATCAAACCTGCAGAAAATTAGATAATTAAAATAAAATAAAAAATTATCATCGAATATATTTAAAATAACAAAAAACAAGATCTAAGAAGAAAATTAGTTTGAAATATAGTTCCAAAAATATTCATGATTTCTAAAATATTGGTATTGACTATGAATAACCATATAAAATTTTAATAGGTTATACAAGTTTCTTAATCAAACATATTATTTAATTTTACAAAGATTAATACCTTGGTTGCGTCTGGTTAAAAAATTAACAAAGTAAAATACCACACAAGTAACTTTACATTTAAAATATGATAAGTAATAAAGTATGATTTGTATACATATTTACTGCTTATAACATAGTCTACATGAACAACACATAAGCAACATCCTCTAAAATTTTATTTAAATAATATAATATGACAAAGTTATGAAACAAATTCAAATGGGAATATATAAAGATAAAATATTCAAATCAAAACATGAATAAACACACAAAAGATAAAAAAAAAAACATTGATAATGTGAAGTCTCAACATCATCTTACATGTTTAAAAACAAATATTAGCAAATAGTTGACTGCAAATAAAACAGATCTTATAAACTGAATAGAGATATAATCTAAAATTCGTAGAAGATCTGGTGGAGAAGCAAAAAGCAGTTTTACATGATTAGTGTAGCTTACTAACAAAAGTAAATTTGAATCAACATATATCATATATTATATATGTATATGTACACAACATTAGCGAGATATTTAGTAAAGAAACTAAATATTTAAACATATAAACCTTTTAAAAAAAGAACCATATAAATCCTAAGGATACAAAACAAAACACCAAAAATTTAGTAAATAAATCATTTTCTAAATCAAACATATGCACATCGAAGTTGGATAATTCATTAGGTGTCATTACTATGATTTTATTTAATAAGATTTATAATTTTATAAACAAAAATATGAAATACTACATATTATATTTTCATTTTCTTATGTAAAAGAAAATTTCTATAAATATATTATAGTTTTGATAATTTAAAAGATATTAGCCTAAAAATTAAACCAAATTATTAATACAGACTCGCGCGTATCACGAATTAAACGCCTAGTATAATATATAAAAGTTGATGGCATAGTGCATTGAGGGCGTCCACATGGGATTAAAAAACTCGATCTGATTGGTCCATATCAACATATTCATTAAATAAAAAAAGTGTTAAGTATGATTATGACGGAAAAACTTGATTTAATTGGTCCACATCAGCTTTTAAATCAAACCAAAATTGTTAAGTATAATTAAAACATAAAAAGTTAATTTAACAAATTATGTCCAATAAAAAAGTAAATTCAATCTGATTGATCCAAATCAACATATTTATCAAACTAAAAATGTTAATATGGTTTAAAAATTTAAAAGTTAAATAAAAAAATTAACAATTAACTATACATGTATAAAAAAAAGTAAGCATTATTAATTATCAATTTTAAAAAATATACAACAACTCGATTTAACAGTTAAAACAATGAAGACTAAATAAAAATATAACATAAAACTCTTGGAAGACATGATGGAGAAGGAAAAAATGATTTTGCATGATCATTACAGCTTCCTAACAAAATTAAATGCGAATCAACATGAATTATGGATTATATATACAGTGGTACACAACATCAATAAGACCTTCAATAAAAAAACTAAATATCTGAACACATAAACCTTCAAGAAAAAAAACTATAGAAATTCTATAGAAAACAGAAAATAATACCA